CTTCACCCAAAGGGTTGTGAATCTGTGGAATTCCCTGCCCAGTGAAGCAGTTGAAGCTACCTCGCTGAATGTTTTTAAGGCAAGGCTAGATAAATCTTTGAACAGTAAAGGAATTAAGGGTTATGGTGAGTGGGCGGGTAAGTAGAGCTGAGTCTCAAAAAGATCAGCCATGATCTTATCAAATGGCGGGGCAGGCTCGAGGGGTCGGACGGCCTACTCCTGCTCCTAGTTCTTATGTTCTTATGTTCTAGATCACCTTGAAGCCTCCTTGACTTCTCCTCACAACTCTCAATCTCATCTAATTTTGCATCATCAGCAAACTTGGAAATGTTGTATTTGGTTACCTAATCCAGGTCATTGATATATATTGTGATTAGTTGGAGCCCAAGCATTGATCCTTATAGTATGCCACTAGCCACTGCCTGCCACTTAGAAAAATACCAATTTATTCCCACTCTCTGTGCTATCCTGTATAATTGCACAACAAACCTAATAATCTGGAAGTCTCACACACTTTTCAATAGCATATATATTTGCCACAGCCATACAAATGAAAGCTTCTGGAAATCCAGTGCCAGCATACTTTATTATTGAAAATGCAATGTGTCTGTGAAACTACCATTGAGTCATAGAATCAGACAGCATGCAAACAGACCCCTCAGTCCAACCAATCTATGCCAAACATAATCCTAAACTAAACTAGTCCCACCTGCCTGCTCCTGGCACATAACCCTCCAAACCTTTCCTAATCATGTACTTATCTAAATGTCTTTTAAACATTGTTACTGTGTCCACATCCACCACTTCCTCTGGAATTTCACATGAACCACCCTGTATTAAAAAAAAAATTGCCGCTCATATCTTTCTTAAATCTCTCTCCTCTCACCTTAAAAATGTACAACCCAAGTCTTGAAATCCCCCATCCTAAGGAAAAGACACTTGCCATTAACCCGATCTATACCCCTCATGATTTTATAAACCTCAATAAGGTCACCTCCTCCAGTCCGATGAGAAGAGTCCTAGCCTATTCAGCCTTTCTTTAT